CAAACTCATCTTATTTCACATATATGATCTGTACCGGGCTCCAGAACCTGAATACGAGCCCGATACCATCAAATTCTAAATGCATTTCATTTCCAAACTTCATAGAAATTTCCAGAAAACAATTTTTCTTTAAAAAATTCATTTCTCGGGCTTGGGACCTCGGAATCCCATTCCGGGCATACTCCCAAGTCCCATATTTTTCCACGGACCCTCCGGGACCGTCAAATCACGGGTCCGGGTCCGTTTACCCAAAATGTTGACCGAAGTCAACTTAAATCCATTTTAAGTCAAAATTTCAACATTTTCATAGATTTTCACATAATAGCTTTCCGGCTACGCTCCCGGACTACGCACGCAAATCGAGGTGATGCTGAAAGAGGTCTTTAAGGCCGCGGAACGCAGAATTCATTTTAAAAACAAGTGATGACCTTTTGGGTCATCACAGGTTAATGGGTTCATCATACCATTTTTCAAATCTACATTGATTTCTGTCCTACCAACGGGGATTATAACACAACACTATTAATTAACATGTTATATAAAAAATATTAACAAACATTTTTTTCCAAAACAATAACTTACAAGTTGTTGACATATCCAGCGTCTACGCCCGACATTACTATTTGACCAACATGGCTTCAAAATAGCACGTTTTCCACAATAACACCTTGGTACGTCATTGCGTCCAGACATTTCGTAATGCAAGAAAAATGAAAACTTTATGGAAAGTTTTTCTATTCGTTTTGGTTAAGCGCAAATAATAACTTTATAGACAAGAAAAAACACATAACGCATATTGGTGGCGCGCTATGTTTTGCGTGATAAAGATTCTTTAGGGTACAAAATAGCTTTAGAGCCTTTTCAGGTCGACAAGACAATACACAACGCGGTATTTCGTGGTGCTATGTTTCGCGTGATAATGATTCTTTAGGGTACTATACAGTTTTTCCAGAACAACAGCTTTTTCAAGTCGACAAGACAATACACATAACGCATATTGGTGGCGCGCTATGCTGCGCATGATAATGATTCTTTCGGGTATAAGACAGCTTCTTAAACTGAACCAAGCCATCTGTATTCCAAGACCATTTGAATAAACAATATCCATTTAAAAATGCCACTAATATTTAATAAGTGGTTCAAAAAAAGGCAAAAGGATGAAGGTAGTTCAATAGATCCCCATGGAACACGTCTTGACACTATTGATCCCTACCTTGAAAAAAATATGCTAGGTTGCTACACTGACTTGGTTAATGACAAGTGGTATAATATTCTAGAAAATAAGCCTATCAATATACACACTGATCTCAAAGTTGTAGGGCACATTATTAAGGGCAAGGCGCATTCTACAAAGCCTGAAGGTATGCAAATTTGGGGCAAAAAACTACAATGGGTTCCCCTTTACTCAAAACGATGTTATTATGAAGTACTATGTCGCTGGCATGGGCTTGTTGTGCCACAAGCATTGTCTGTAACCTTCCAAAAAAACACACACAAAGATGAACCAGAAGTGATTCGGCATTTGATGAAGGAGATTCTAGAGATAGAAAATGCACTAGATGTTCATCATGCAATGGATGATCTTAAGTTACTGGGAGGAACGGAGGATCGGTACTGGGATTTATTAGAAAATGATAAATTGCATAGAGACAATGATTATCCTATTTTCCTAACAGTTGTCGAGTGGGAGGGACTACCTAAGTTTCTACCACATACGTTGGACATAGGAGTCTCATATTGTTGTATAAATCAAGCAAGTGGTCCTATTGATGATAGCGATGAAATGCGAGAAATGTGTGTCAACTAGGGCCTAGATTACGATGCCCTCGGTCCCGAAGGGTACGTACACGATGTTGATGAAGAAGATGAAGACAATGATAATGAAATAGTGCCAGACAGGGACGATAATAGCCAATGACAATTGTTTTTCTTGGGGTGTATGTTAAATTGTTGTACTGAAGTATTAATGCTAAATATCAACTAGATTTAACCACAATGGAAACATAATTTTATTTCATACATTTTGCAAGTTGAACATGTACATACACTTATTACAACAAATTACTGCAACAAAATACTACGTGCATCCTTCATAACTGGGAACATTGGATGAACTTCCACCGGGAGCTGAATTACCACCACTACCTAAACCAGCTGAAGGACATTCACGATGGTCGTGTCCTGTTTGCGAGCACATGCCACATTTACGCGCATAAACGGTATCACCAACATCCATTTGGTTCTGTATACGCGTTCTTTTTTGCACTTGTCGTTAACGCACATACTCTTTGTTACACACCATTTTAAATGGTTCCGGCGGCCAATAATGCTCAGCACTCACTAGTTGCAACTGTCCACTATAGGGGTTTAAGTATGCAACAACACTATATTCTTTATCAACGTACCTGGTTGCTGTGAAACCTGTACGTTGAAAGAACTTCATGGCATATGAGCAATGCATGTGGTAGATGGACCATTTCCCATAGGAGCATAACCTTCTGTCTTCATTGACGATGTGTGCATTATTCCTCCGGTGTGATGGATAGTGGTACGAACTTCAAAAATATTTCGCTCGTTGCAATATTGCAAAAATGAATACCACTGTGCTAGCTTCCTGTATTTATCAATCTTTTCATGGTATTGGTATGAATTCAACACCCCTTTCAGTCAATGAGGATGCACCTCTAGACCTTTCAACAAACCTCTCCGCCATCTGCTTGAATGACATCCGCACTATGACAGTGACAGGCAATCCATGTGCAGACTTCAATAACCCGTTGAAAGACTCTGACACATTTGTAGTTAGGATTCCCCATCTTCTACCACTATCCGCATGCAATGTCCACTTGTTAAGCTCATGTCGCATCAACCAAGTATAGGCTCTTTGGTCTTCCTGCTTGATCAATTCCATTTGTCTCCTGAATTTACACTCTTGGTGATCAGTTACAGCCATCCACATTAAATCATGCAAGTCCTTATTTGGATGAGCCCTCTGGAAGTTGTTCTTCAGGTGCCTCACACAGTAACAGTGATAGGCATACGGTTCCTGCCATGCACGCAAATTCTGTACAGAACTTAAAATATCGCCATGACGATCAGATATTAGACAAATAATTGAACGTTGATTGACAATGTGCTCCTTCAAGTAGTTCAAAAATAATGTCCACGTCTTTTGGCTTTTATTGGCACAAATAGCAAATGCTAGGGGAAATATACTTCCATTAGCATCTACTGCAACGTCGATCAACAACTTAGTATCATACTTTACATAGACATGAGTGTCGTCTATGGATATTACCTGCCGGCAATGCATAAAACCATCAGTGGCTGAATATGTGTTCTGATATTCATGGACTCTGCTCAAGCTTCCATTCAACAATAGTCCCGGGGTTAAAGTGTTGTAGTGCGGCCGTGTACCTGGGTAGAGATGCAAAGGACTTATCCCACTTACCATAAACAATTTCAAACGCACGTTTGCGCTCGAGAAATGTCTTTCTTTTGGTAATGGTACACCTATATACCTGGTGGACAGATGTTATACACTCTTTGATCTTGTACCTTATGGACTCTTCAATGTGTGGAATCAAGACAAGAGAAATCAAGTCAACATTCAAGTTAAAATGATTCCCACTGAATGTGTCCATTTCACAATTGTGGGTGCCAATGTATTTACCCACAACTCATATATTTGTTTTCTGCTTCCTCGCACGCAGCATCCAATTACAACCCTTAAACCATCTATGACAAATAACATTGTATACATCTGGAGATGACTCATGAGCCACCATCTCACAACACTCTTTTATGTTGTACATTCACACGGCCCTCCTTAGGCGCGCTTTATTAGGAAAAAGCATGCCCTTTGACAGCATTGTTACTCTAGATTCATCCCACATTGATATCCGAATTTCGTCAAGATCCCTTGTAAGGGCATCCACATCCGGCATACTTGGCAAATTATCAAGGTAGGGAATCTCCCTTAAATGAAACAGCACGTGGGACTCGTATACTCTTGGTCTAACGGGAAGTGGAGCATGCTCCCTCGTCAAATCAGGTTCAGCATTTTCTTCCTCTTCATCGTCACCCTCATCAGGAAAGGGTGTGTCATCTCCAGACTCATCAGTATTGTTGCCATAATCACTATTCACTTCCTGACTCTGCGCATCTGCTAGATCCCGATTAAATATATCGTCTTCGGGCAATTGAGTAAGGATCGGACCTTCAAGTTGCTCGTTTTCACTGCACAACCAATAAAATAATGAATTTGTCAAATTGCCCAAACTTTACATATAGTGTTATGACATAACGAACAAATATTTCAGAAGACTTGAAGGATCCTAAATGGATTTTTACATAATCCTGAAACTCTTTAAATAGGGAAAAAACCAGTCACGGGGTACAATTATTTGAGGTATAACGCCTTATATATGAGTGTTATACCCAGTTAAATTATTGGTGTGTCGATTAAGCCCCGATGAATTATTTGTGAGCCCAATACTTATATATAACACGGTATTGCACCGCGCTATACTTTAACGGCAAACGTGTCGTTAAGGTATAGCGCGATGCAATACCATGCTATATATATTATAGTGCCCAATGTCGCGATGCAATACCATGCTATATATATTATAGTGCCCAATGTCGTTAAGGTATAGCACGGTGCAATACCGCGCTATATATATTATGGTGCCCAATTTTTTCCCCACCTGGTTCTTTGACACTTTAGTTCCGGACTCCTAAAAGATTAGTCCGAGTAATTGTGATGCATTATTATCCTTGCAGTTGCTTGTAGCTAGGCAAATGTCCTTGACAAGCTTTTCTCACCATGTCATGGATAATGGAGCCTAATCACTTGAAAAGGACAAGTCACATAAATAGTTGTGCCAGAAATTAACCGCAATTACTGGGTATAGAGCAAAGATGCTGGACCATATTATAAAGCATTTACTTCGTACGCCTCACAGAGAAAACTAGTTGTCCTTGAGAATATATAGTGCTCGAAGTATCTTCGTTTAGTATTATAAAATATTGTTTTGGGTTTCTAACCGTGTCCACAATACATGGAATGGTAGGACAAAAACGTTGAATGGAAAAAGAAACAAAAAGCAAGCAAACCCAAGCACGCAATCCAGGAATGGGCAAAACAGAAAATAAGAAAGAAAAACAGGTCAAACATTGATCTCTACGTTAGCACATTCATTATCTTGAAACAAATCTATGGAGGTTCATACCAGCTGCAGCAACATTAGTTTCCAATTCCAACCACAGATCTGAAACATTAAATACCCTTGCAGTGACATTATCCCTTTCTCAAAACCATATCCAGTTTTGTTGTAAGTAGTTCATTCCTGAACACTGGAAAACCAACGGATGTCACATTAAATTATACAATTTCAAGGGCAGGGAAGCAATTATGGGAGGTAATCGGAAGAGTCCGGGCATTAACAGCCGTCCGAAGTGTCATATTGATAAGCAAGTCAATAGAATACATTCCATAATTTTTGTTATTTTTGAATATTTCGTTGCTATGTCTTCATGCACCACTAGCATATAGGCGTGTCCACTCCTTGGCTGGATCATTGAAGAAAAAGGAAACTCAAATCGAAGGAGTGAACGCATATCAATTTGCATAACCAGGAGATGTTAAGAGGCAGTAAATAGAAAGACCAGAATACAAACTACCCGTTTCAACAGCTTCAGCCTCATTTGACTTCCAGTGCTTTGCAATGTTTTCAGAGAGTGGATCATCCGGGTTTGGAGCACTCAAAAGTGCTTGAATGCTGAAACGAGAGTAAAAAAACTTAAACTTCTAATAACTAAAACGCTCAAGTTAGGTGCTCATTTTCACAGTATTCATCAATCTTGCATCTTACGGAGTGTACCTAGAAAGATGAGAAAACTATTTCAAAACATGATACAATATTTAATACCTCAAAAGTACAGTACGGATCTGAAGTGCAGGACTCCACTTGTCTTTAAGAATATCAAGACATATCCTTCCAAGCTTCACAACAATGGCATACATAAGCAAGGTATTTTCTGGCTTATATCCACGTGTAATAGAGTTGAAAAAGATAACAAACCTTATCAATGTTAGGATGGTAGATTTTGGTGAGGAATCGAACCTGTTAGGATTCAAGTTGATCAATGATACAGACGTTATACAAATAGCAAAACTTCATAAACATGTTAAACACATAAAGAAAAAGAAATATGCACAGGCAAATAACATCAGCAACTATTAAGATCGAGGCTACACATATTTAAGATAAGTCTATAATCGTTTGAGAAGTAAGCTTCCTGCAACTACTAAGTGACACCAGGTGCTTCATCTNGTAAACAATGATATTGAAGTGCTCTAATACCATGTTAAAGAAACGGACCTTGGGCCTAAGTCAATCCCAAAAACTAGCTCATGATGTGACGATTGCCCAAGACCACTTAAAGAAGCACATAAACCCAGACCCACCCAATGTCGGATCCAACAAAACCGATTATGAAAAGCACCCAAGAAAAGTTGCAAAATTTCACCCCGATAGTATTCCCAGATTTAGTATCTTTATGCATCTACTAAATGCCTTGCTTTTGCTATAATTCCAAACATTTGCGGGAGTAGGGAATTAGTATTTTAAGGCATGAGTACCTGCAGGCCAGAACCAATGTCATGAGATCCTTTATCTTCAATTATCCAACTGCCCCTAAGAGAACTAGTATAAGCCTGAATGCCAACTAAGCATAATATATCCAACAAATCCTCAAAGAGACATACCCCCATCAATCACTGTCCTAAGTCAATTCATTTTTATTTAATTATCTAAAAAAACAGCCACCAGGATGCTAATTTTTTTTTTGGTTGAAAAGTCTACTCCCAAACAATAAATCTCATCACCATTCTACTTAATGCCTGAACCAAAGATGCACCATAAAGCTATGCTGCTCGGACTCTCCGAAAATGTGTGCATGTTGGATCCTCCAAAAGTAGTGCATTTTTGGAGGATCTGACACGGGTGCAGCTACATTTTCGGAGAGCCCGAGCAATATAGCCATAAAGTACAACTGGAATTCCAAGAGAACTAACTGAGATGGCCGTAAATGTAAGTTAAATAAAATAGTGTTTGCGTAGTTCAGAACAAAGCATCTTTCTTTATAAGTTTAATAGAAACCACTGATACAAACAACTGTGGCCAAATGTTGACAAAAGTGTGAATAATATCACAGGCAACACATTAGTAGATAAATAAAACAATACTAATACTAAAACCTTTGTTGCTCTACGTCACTTTTGATTAACATGCCAAGCAAGTTGACTGAAGGGGACCGCTTCCTCTACTCCTCCGTCGAGGAACCGTTCTCAAGGGAAGCAAGCGATGTCGTAATGGTAGGAGGTCAGAGAGAACAAAAAGAGGTCCCATCTCATTACTTACAGATAAAACTCTTAAGCGTAGCTTTTACCAATATAAAGATATTCCATTTTATCAATCAAAAATAAAAAATCAAACAGAAGGATCCTATTCCAAATAAGAATGACTATCTCTCACATTTTGAATAAGGATGAGCGTCTTTAAACTGGAGGTGCCAGTTGGCTTGATTTCAAAGATTGATAGAGAGAGAGGGAGGGAGGGGGGGGGAGGAGTTTCCTAGAACCTAGATCAAGTTTTTAGGTGAAGTTTTGCAATAGTATTTGTACATCGCCACTACCACATAGAAACAGATTCTAAACATCAGAAAATTTTGATCATTAGTATTTTAATTCTTCCAGCACTAATATGTATCTTGACTCATAGTTCCAATAATACCAATATCCAGGTTGCCCAAGTATACCATTTTTACAACCCCAAAGTGCATATAAATGGAAGAATGGGACGAAAACAGTCACCTATACTAGTATTCCTAGAAAAGCAACCTCAACATGTACAAAGTTGTCAAACATGGTCGCGGATAGATAAGAGCATGTCCCTTAATATTTTGATTGTCATAAGCTTCTTTACATCTCACATCAAACTTTGTCTATTAACAAATATCATGATGAAATTACAAGGTAGCATAATTTTTTATCTTTTTTCAAGAAAAAAGGTACAAACTGCATAAACACTTCACCTAACATGTCCACTTAGGCAACAGTACAGCTATTAACATGGTAAAAGGAAGCAGCAAAGCTTTTACAACTAAGTTTCAAACCCGGAAAGGAACGTCCTGAAGTTAAAATGTAGCAACATATTGCCAGACATAAAGACAACAGACTATAACTTAAAAAGGCATAATGCCTAATATTTTCTCATTTCAAATTGAGATATAACACTCTACCAGGACAGAGGCTGGCAACATCAACAAAAAGAGAGCCAAAACATAGCTAGCAAAGGGATATCATCGAAACAAACAAAAACTACTTATGCAACAACGGCAACAGCCCAACCGACTACAAGACAAGTTTAACTGTAGCTTTATATAGGAACAGAAATCAAAGCACTATAACAACTGATCCAGCATGCGTAAGGTGACAGTTCAGGCTTGAAGAAAGATCAGTCAAAAAGAAATATTCCTTTATCCGTTATAAAGCTTTGAGATACCATTTCAAGAACGAATACTGCAGAATATCAACTGGAATTTGTCAAAACGTCCTTAATGTGTTTAAATACCTTAGGAGCGGCCATCGGGTACTCTTCAGGCAAAAAGAGTTCGAGCTTGAAGACACCTCCTACACAAAAAGGCAAGAAGAGGAACTTAGTCAAAAGAGAAACCAGGCAATCAGAACATACATTATTCAAATACAACTGTAGACATATCATCCACATTACTACCAAATAGAACAATAGCGGTAAACTGGACGAGTTAACAGAGAAGAATGTCGCATACAAACATATCAAGAAAACAGTACAAGGTGGTTGATGGGTGTCTTAACTAATACTAACCATGAGCAACATGTTTGTACTTCACACCAACATTCAATATTTTATACTAAGGACAGCCAGCTTTCTGCTATGCTCCAGAGAAATAAGACAGTTCATAACAAACTACCGGGAGTTGCGACATGTTAGACAATGAACTATATCAATTTGCCAAATGCAGCCACACATCTCACAATCAGTGTTATCAACTAGTCAAGTTAACTTTACATTCTACAGGATTAATTAGTGCAGTGATCTTAGTTAATTTTCATATTTGGTCTGTATAGCACACAGCAAATGAAAAGGTAGATAAATGCCCAAGATTTTAGAGGACAATATGGAACAAATTGGAGGGGACAGGGTTCAGTTT